TGTCGAAAGTAAGGATACTTCCAAGGGCAACAGACCAAGTAAAGAAAGCCACCTTCAAAGGGACTTTCATCCTCCAAATAGCTTTCCAACAAAAAGTGGGTCATCTAACCTCAAACACCCCTCTCAACTTACCCTCCCACGCCATCTCTTCCATACCCATGCCCTCCACCACCTGGCTATAAATCAAAGCTAGGAAATCTGTGGCCTCCAAAAGCTCCCAATCATAGAACTCTGTGCGAAACTGCGCATCCCAAGTCATTCTCCCATTATCAAGCCAATAATGGTAAGCAACAACAGCATGTCTCTTCACAAAAATCCTGAAAATACGAGGAAACCTACAAGCCAAAGCGAAATCCCCACAACATCAGTCCTCCCAAAAGCTGACATGCATCCCGCTCTGAACTATGAACCGAATGCATTTGGAAAACTCTTCCGATCCCTTTCGGATGAGTTTCCAAGAACCCATAGCCGCTGGAGCCCTTGCCTCCCTAGACTGCCACCCTCCATCTCCTTCCCCATAGTGACAATCTTAAGAGCAAAAAGTGAAAATTGCTATTGTTGCAAGTATATGCATAAGAGCCAAAGGAAGAATCACACTTAAAAGGACTAGAACTCAACAAGAAATTAAATGCATAAATTCAAAAACAAAAAGAAGGAAAGTGCATAGATTCACATGAAGATAATATACACACACACACATATATATATAGTTTGCTTGACAAAATTTGAACCTAAGACCCTCAACCAACCCTATCCGACCTGTTTACTAAAGGAAGAGGAAAAGTTCGATCCACACATATCCTTTAATGCCTTGAGTTCCCAGAGAAATGCATCCAACCAATCGAATATTCTCTCCTTTCTTAGCTTCTCTAAGAAAGGAGGATGGACCAACATTAACGTGGAAAGAGATACCAAAGTTCTTCATAATTGGGGTAGAAATAGATTCCAAGATTTCTGCAAGTATTAGCATCTAATTTAAGAGCTTCAGACAACGCCCAAATAATGGGGTCTTCCATTTCATAGGGCTAATTACTCAGCATAGGTTCAAGGTGATTATTAGGTAAATAGAGACTTAGAGAGTCTACAAGGCTTAGGTTATGTGGAAGTCAAGGCAAGCTTGATTGATGGAGAAAGAGAGAGAGAGAGAGAGGCAGTGTTTCGATGACCAGTGACTCTTGAGGTCAAGGTACCGGAGGGATGTTATCATGTTAGACAGCTAAGGGTTTCTTGAGGTTTTTTTTCCTATTTTTCTTTTCTTTAGGACCTAATGAAGATAGCTAGGTTCCTTTTAAGAGATTTGGGCTGGTACATAGATGTATTTTGTCCTCTTAAATACAAGTCTTAAGAACTACCTATTGCCAAAGGATGGGTATAACCTGATGTAAAAGGACTGACGTCCCTGCATATCTCTTGCATTTTGATGGCACAATTCACGTGGACCTGTAATTGCTTGCTTAAAATGTGATTTGAGCCAAGTATGGCTAAGATCATTATTATTGTATGGATGGGTGAGTTGAAGCATTTGTGCATTGAATGCAATATAACGCAATTAATACAAGCATTGAATGCCAAAACGTGATGTTGAAATGGGTGGTCCATTGGCATTGGGCATAGTTGTTAAAGGCCCAGCCAGGTTCCAAAAAAGGTCCTAGTCTCGTCAGCTGAAGCGCCTTAACCAACTACAGGACAAGGAGTTGTCCCTTCAATCAAGCTCGTGAAAAGCCCTCAAGCTCGCACCTCTTATTATTCAATCATTCTTTAATATCATTTTTGTTTTTTTATAACCATGAATTTAATTATGTAACACTCTACAACACATCTTGGTCATATACAATGGATCACATTATTTAGTCTAATTGTATATTTGACAAAATTTGTGGCCTTATAGTTTACTACTTACATTAATTGTGTCTGGTGCTTGATTCTAAATTTTTATGATAATATAAGATATGTTAAAATCTACAATTATTGCCTTATATAGTTATGCATTTTCTATGGTATTTAATTTAGCTAACATATATGCATATTGAAAGGAATTATGCATATTAATTTACTTAATCTTCCAAGTTTATATGTCAAAATTTTCATTTTTAATAAATGTTGGATTGGTCATGTAACTTGTATTCTGTATCTTAAATTGCTCCGAATGTAAATTAATTTAATGTATTATTATGCAAACTAAAAAGATATATGTCAGATTCGGTTCAAGATTCAGGGTGGAAGGAATGTCAGATTTTGGGAGGATAGATGGTGTGGGGACTTGGCTTTGGCTCGTAGATTTCCTCGTCTTTTCAGAATTGCTGTGAATCGTCAGGTTGTGGTCACTGATTATTATTGTCTCGATAATGGGATGGTGACCTGGGATGTGCAGTCCCGTAGACAGTTCCATGATTGGGAACTTTTGGAGTTGCAGACTTTCTTGCCTTGTTGTATCGCCATGTGATGGTTGGGGTGGGCATGGATGAGATGGTGTGGGTGGACTCATCGAGAGGAGTGTTTGAGGTTAGGTCTTTCTACAAAAGTGTGGTGGAGATTCCTGGCCCTTCTTTCCCTTGGAAAGCTATTTGGTGGACAAAAGCTCCCTTGAAGGTGGCTTTCTTCTCGAGGACTGCTGCACTAGGTAGCATCCTTACTCTAGCTAACCTGAGAAGGAGACGCCATATTACGGTTAATTGGTACTACATATGCAAGAAGTCAGGCGAATCTGTGAATCACCTTCTTCCAAATTGCTCGGTGGTTAGGGATATTTGGTCTATGTTTTTGGCTGCTTTTGGTCTTTTTTGGGTCTTTCCAGGAACCACAATAGATACGTTAGAGACTTGGAATGGGTGAATAGTGGAGAGCCGAGTCAGAGACGCTTGGAGGGCCATTCACTCCCCTTTGCATTTGGTGGGGGCTGTGGCGTGAGAGGAATAGGAGAGCTTTTGAGGGACAGGATACTCCCATTTGGTCTCTCAAATACAATATTTTATCTTCTTTATTCTTTTGGGTTTATGGGCGGGATTGTATTTCCTTGGATCTCCTTTTGGATTTTGTGGATAACTTAAAGTTATAGTTTCATCGTGCTCGACGTCTCTTGTTTTTGGCAGCGCTCCCCTTTGTTTTTATGAAATCTTACTTATCAATATATATGCGTGGGTGTGTGTGTGCGTGTGTGTGAATACTGATTTAGCTAATTCATTGAGCCGATATGTTGAAAATTTCCTTTATTAAGTATCCTACCATGGACCACAAATGGTCCTTTCCAATTAGGTGTATGCATCAATTTGTCTCCCAAGTGTTCATTCCTCAATGAGGCTTATCTGTAGCAAGAAGATCCTCGTGGTGGGTTCAATTTATCGTTGTTGCTCATCTGCGGAAAGGATTTCTTCACAACTCTTTAAGCCTTTGATGAGGCGTATCTGTGGAAAGGATATGTCCACTTGACGAGGCTTATCCATAAGGTCCACTTAACGGTCTTTCATTTCCTCAACAAGACCAATCCATAAAAAGGAGGTCCTCATACCTCATAAGTCTTTGAGTATTCAACAAGACTTATCCATAAGAAGGTCCTCATGATCTCCGAATATTAAACAATAATCGCACAACTATGGGTTGCATCATATGCTCATAGAAAAGTAACAATACTTATCTGTAAGGAGAAAACCCTAGCAACAAGGCCTATATCAGGAGAATGGATCCTTGCCAAGTATATGCTAACAGCAAAGCTTATCTGAGGAGAAGAGGTTCTTGTGGTTAAAGATGCATAATCAGTAAACTAGAGTCTCAATGTGGATTACAAATGCATGTAGGAGGAGCTTCTAGAGTTAGGGACAATTCCCTAGGGAGACTCTTTACTTAAAATATTGCAGGAATGTCTTTTTAAGTACTTCAATCAAGGTGATTGTTAGACAAGCCTTACAACCAAGGATTAGGCACTTACAACCGTCGTCAGTGCCAAAATGTACAAATACATATTTCTACAAAAGATCCCATCAAGTCAAGGTTAGGAGATATCAAAATAATTTCCCCAACACCCTTTACATTGGTTTCTCTCAAGGTGTGTGTTTAGTTAGTCTGGGTTTGAGCAAAAGCATGCCGCACACTCTTCATCAAAGCCTGAAAAGTATTTCAGGTCTTTATGAATTCTTCTAATTTGTTGTCTTTGCTCTGCATTTTCTCTTTTTCTTTTCTAAAGGACTTCTTGTCCTGCATTCTGTATCTTTCAATGTTTCAACAGAATTTTTCCCTTAACGCAATATCATAATGCATAATCACTTATATGACTGATAAGCGAAATTTTATCAGCAAAAAGACACCACAAAGAGTTCATGCAAGCTTAAATTTGGCCTTCCTTGCGCATACTACCGAGATAGACTACATAAAATCCAATCAAGTAAAGAAAGATGTAACAACAACCACAAGTTCTTAAACCCCACATGAGTACAACTCAAAGATCTCGTGTTCATCTCATGGGGGCACATATTAACACCTCCGCCACAGGTTGTGAGTATTCAAAGGGATTAGTCCCCTCCCCCCAAGAAGATGAGGACACCCTCTTTACCACAAAAAGTTAAAAAATAACAATAAGTAGCCACAGGATTTTAAATGCAACAGCTTCTAACAATCATAAGGGAGTTCTAAAAGCCCAAAAAAAAACAAAGAAGTAACATTTGAATGGATGGGAAACAAACAAGCTATAAACTTGCACCTGAACTTATCCAACAGAATATGTAGTGAAAAGAAACATTAAATTTAATACCATTCACCAAATTAAAATTAAATTAAAAAAAATTAACAAGTGGCCACGGGATTTTAAATACAACAGCTTCTAACAATCATAAGAGGGTCCTAAAATCAAAAGGAAAAAAGAAAAAGAGGTAACATTTGGGGGGAGCTATAAATTCTACTCAGTAAAAATCTAACAAATAATGTGGTAGAAAGAAACATTAAATTTAATTCCATTCACCAAATTAACGTTAAATTAAAAAATCTCTAAGTACCAAATGAAAAGTCCATACTTGTCACCATTTGGCTGATCGCCTCGCACCAGAACTCCGAGCTCAGAGCTCTGCTGTGAGCCTCCGATAAAGCCCTCTCCATCGGAGTCGACCTCAGCCTCAGCCTCCTGCGGGGGCGACGCATTGATGTCGAAAACCCCAACACCCTCTCGCAATCTCTTCCTCCCATTGCTCAACAAACACTTGAAACACTTCCACTCACTCGGCCTCTGCAGCTCCTTCGTCCCCAAACACCTCATATGAAACCCTCTCCCGCACTCGCAACACACCACCATGTCGCCCTCCACCTCCCCGGCGGCTTTCCCGCACGAACGGCACACTGCCGCTGTCGCCTCGCCGGGAAAAACCCCATCTTTGGAGCTCTCGGCGGCGGCGCGAGGAGAGGGCAAGGGGGTTTCGTTGAGATCGATTTCAAAGGGCCGAGAGCGAGTACCCTTTTGCGCATTGGGCGAATTGCTCGACTCCATTGCTAAACCAGAGGTTTTGAACTCAAACTCGAACTCAATTGAATTCTCAAGACAACAAAAGGCATTCTCAGAACAAGAAATGTGTGAATCTTTTGAAAGGTGAGTGCGAGGTAAAAGGAGTTTAGAGAGAGAAAGAGAGTGTGTAGAGAGAGAAAGAGAGAGATATGATCAGAGGTTTTGAGATTGAAGATACAGAGAGGTTTGGCTAATTGGGTTTTTGGTTTCACCGACTGGGTTTGATTTCTATTTCTATTTCTCCTTCACTGAGTGATCTTGTGAGAGGAGGGGAAACGTAACGTACGAGGATAGAAAGAGAGAGAGAGAGAGAGAGAGAGAGAAAGCAGAGAGATGCCCAAATGACTCAGACAGGACCGAATTGAAAGTAGAAACAAACTCTTTTGTATCGAAGCGAAGCTTAGACCTGGTTCGGGTTCTCGAGAATTGTGAAAGGGATTTTCTCCGGTTTGTTCTGAAATGACCGAAATACCCTTTTCAGTTATTAAACCCTTTCTTGGATTTTTCACCTTTTTTCCTGGGAAAAAAAAAAATTTAAAGACAAAAGGAAAAAGCTAAGTGGGCCCTTCACTTCAATGCGTTTTTCCTCTTTTCAGTTTAGTAAAAAATAAATTTAAATAGTGAAAATTTAAATTTTAAAAATATTTTTAAAAACCTATTAATGACATATTTTTTTATTTTTTTATTGGTAAGTAGTAGTAATTATACTCAGGACATTGAAAAAAATATCATTTAATTCATTCAAATTACAGAACAAACTTTTTTGGATTTTTTTTACAAATGCAATGAATGGATGAGGATGCCTACTTTTGTATTTATAAATGAAGATTTGAATGATGAGATTACTGAAATATATTCTTTTGGTTTGATTTTTGACAATAATGTCTACCTTATATGGTAATTTCATAACTAGTATAATCAATTACCTATAAAGTCATTTGGTAACACACTCAATTTGTTGCATGGCTCTATTAAATAAAGACTATATAAGAGAGTCTTTGCTGTATATCTATATAATTTCATAACTAGTATAATTCAAATTTCAATCTTGCAGATGTGATAGGTAAATAAAGAAGGGAATGGAGGTTAGAGATTAACCGTGATTAGTATTTTATCGATTAGTGTAATTCAATTGAAGATATAGTCGTGGAATAGTCTTTTCGGCATGTTTGACATGTATCGCAAGTTGTCAGAGTTTTAAATGCACTTTTAAAATTTTGAATGGTGAAAGTAAGACACATAGTCATTTAAGATTGTCTTTGCCATATGACCGGTTTTGGCATGTTTGACGAGTAATACAAGTTGTCAGGGCTTTAAGTATACGTTTAAATTTTGAATAGCGAAAGTAAGACGATATAGCCATGTAAGAGCATCATTACCACGTGGCTATTTGATTTTTGCATGTTTGACAAGTATCATAAGTTGTTAGCGTTTTAGGTATACATTTAAGTTTTGATTTATGAAAGTAAGTAAAATTTGTTCACATTTATTTTGTTCAGATAATGATAAAGGAATTGAAACAAACTCTTTTGTACTTAATCGAAGATAAATACAACTATTGGTTCAGGTTCTCAAGAAATGTGAAAGGTTCTCTTCGATCATTTATGCTGAATAACTAGAATGTCCTGTTCAACTAATACTCTAATTGAAATTTTAAGAAGAGAAAGATTGGATGGACCTAATGTTTCAGAGTCTTTTCAAATGAACGTTTGACAAGTATCAAATTTTATTCAACGTCTCAACATGATTAAAAAAATTTGAACCGTGAAAATAAGTGAAGTTTTTCGCATTTAGATCATTCCCGTAATAATATTTAGAAAAACTCTCAACTTTGCATGAAAATAAATAAGAGACTTTACCAAGAAATGTTACTTTATATATATATACAAAAAGTTTGCCAAAAAAAAAAAACACTTCAACATTTTTTTAGTGTAATAATAAATGGCATGATGTGCTAGCTTATTAACAGAAATTGACTTTGAATGACAAATTTGTCCCAAAAAAAACAAAAACATTATAGGTTGAGCAACGTTTTTAACAAACAATTCAACCACTTTTGATGACATTATTACAAGTACATTCCTCTTTTGTTGTTTTATTTTCATATAAATATTTTTTTCAAAAGTCATTTAAAACAGTTGATTAATTACGCTCTTATTTTCCTTGCCCTCTTCTTATGTTGAGTGTCATATTCTTTAATTTGTGCTTGGCGGAGTCAGGATTTTATTTCGCACAAGAGTACAATGGAAAAAAAATTATAAAATAATTAAATATGAAATGATTAGAGTATTTCTCTTTTTTTTTATTATTATTATTATTTTTATTCTTCTTATATATAAGAATATTATTAAATAAAAGAGTATTTTTTGAAATTTGTATATTTCAAAAATGTTTGCACATGATTAAATTTGTAACCGAACAGTTACCTCAAACCCTTCTTTAATATTATTTTTAAACTTAACACACTTATTTACCCAAAAAATAATCTTAAAGGTAATATTTGCCTAAAATTTGAAAATTATGAGTATTTTTCTCACAGACATGTGTCCCCTGGACGCACGCTAGCTCCGCCTTGAATGTGTGTACCGTATATAACAATAAATATATATATATATATATATATATATATATGTATATTATATTTATATATTTATTTATTTAATGAGAATGGTACAAAAGAATTACGGAGTATTATTTAATCCATCCAAAATATGGTAACGGGAACACTTCAACAATTGTTAGTGTAATAAATGGTTTAAGGCGTCAGCTTTTTAACCCACATTGACATTTTGATTATTGACCAAATTTTTAAAAAATATTTATTGACCATTTCAAGTAATTAACAAACAATCTAATTTTTTATTTTTTGTTTTGCATTATAATAATTATAGTCTACTTTTATTATTGTTATTTATTTAATATCAAAGAGTTTCCTTAGGATGGATTAAACGAAATATTATTATTTAACTTTAAGTCATTTAAAGCAAAAATAAAAAATAAAAAGCAATTCATTTGTAAAGCATTTATATTTCTTTTCATTTTCTTTAAGAGACGTTAGTATTATTTTTTTCAAAAATATCGTTATTTAATCCACCCTAATTATGGTAAGCGGATAACACTTCCATTATTTTTAGTGTAAAAATGACATAACTTGCCCACATCGACCTTTAAATGCCAAATTATAATTATACTTTACTTTTTTATTATATTTAAATTTAACATGAAATATAATATCTTAAAAAATTTCAAAATATTATTTATTTAACTTTAAGTCATTTAAAGCAAATTTTTTAAAAATTATCTAAACCAATTGATTGCTAAAGCATTCACTATCTTCCCAGTCCTCATCCAGCTCTTCAAGAGACGTTACATTTTTTTTCTTTTATTTATTTATTTTTTCGAAGAGATTACTAAAATCGTAATTATTTAATTTATCCTAATTATAGTAAGTAGGGAAATATTTAACAATATTTAATGTAATAAATAGCATTATGGGCTTCTTTAACACACATTGAGATTTGAATAACAAGTTTGTTAAAAATAAATATTTTTTTTTGAGTCAAATAACTAATAAATACAGTAAGCCACTTTCTGTTTAAAATATCATAATTATAAGGATTTTAATTTAATTAATAAGAAAAAGGTTTCATACAATTTAAAATAATATTAATTATTTACCTTTTAAAAAAATCATTTAAAGTTTCATTTATCTTCTTCAATAGAAGTTATGTTTTTTTCTTAAAAAGAAAGTTGTCAAAGGAATTATTGTTTTATTTATCCTTAATTTTGGTAAGTGGGGAATACTTCATCAATTTTTAGTGAAATAAATGGCATAATTTGAAAGGAATTTTTTTTTAAATAATTATTTTCTAAGTAAGCCAAGTAATTAATAAATAGTTTGACCACTTTTTTTATAATTATAGTCTACTTTTTTTATTGTATTTTAATTTAATAAGAAAGAGAATGTTACAATTGACCAAAATATTAATAATTTACATTTAAGTCATTTATAACAAAATTAAAGTTTACAAAAAAACCATTTAAAGCAATCAATTACTAAAAAAATGTATCTTCCTTGTTTTCTTGTTAATAATTTTAGCTGTATAAATTATGATAATGAATGTGTCATACTAAATATGAAGAATGCAGTTAAAAAAAAAAAAAAAAAGATGTTAAGCACTAAATTTCAATAAAATAAAATGAAGAGTCATAAATGAAGGTCAAAAATGTCATTTGGGATGTTCGGTCGGAAGAGGGTTCTTTGTGATGACGGGATTGATACCACTGTGTTGAAGAAAACAAGGTCAAATACGTAATTTAAAATTACACAGCAACACGTACTCCGAAGCCAAACTCCCTCTGCCCGTGGCTTGAACACACTGCCCATGCCCCTCTCCTCGGTACATCATGCCCTATGCTCTCATTGCATGAGAGTACACGCATTATGACATTTTGTCAACTAAAAAACTCACACATTTGTTTTTTATTATAAAAAAAAAACCCTAAAATAGTCATGTTCCAAAAAATTATATGAGGTTTTATCTTTTGTAATTTACAACAAATATATCCAATTTAAAAGAAAATAAATTAATAAAGTTATAAATTCATTACTCAAAATTCAATAATTCTCAATCACTCAAAATTTTAGAAAAATTCAATCCATCAAAGGTGCATAAATATAAAAAAAATAAAATTCTCTTATAAGTAAGTGAATGAGTTTACTCCTATATTTCTATACAAAAGTGAGATGCTACCAAAAGTATTAAACAAATGAAACTATATATGAAATTTCAGAAGAACTAACATTTTTAAAGTACAAGGCACATTAAAATAGTACTTGGTTTTTTTATTAATTAGTTTTGATTTGGATTAAATTAAAAGTGTTGATTTTTTTGAATTGTAGTGGGAGATTTGAAATATAAGATTATTGCTATAATAGTTCTCTTTTTCTTTCGGCTAAGTAAGTTAAAACTTTATAGTGGTTTAGCATTAATGGACTAAGATCTTCATGTACATTATAGGGTCGAGCATGCAATGCCATACAACAACAATGTAACATTAATGGACATTTACGTAAAGGTTGCATTCAATATTCATGCAACATCGCATATCGAGTTACACTAATGCTAGGGGCGGCTCAATATAATTTGAGGTCTTAGATGAAAAATACAAAAATGACCTTTTAATATCTAATATATAGTCAATGTAATTAGAAAAATGAGGGAAAATGTGTCAGAAATAAGAAGGAAAAAAAAAAAAAACCAAACAAACAAGATTAAAGTTAAAATAAGAATATGAAAAGTTTTACAAATTTTGGAGAAAAAAGAAACGTGAATGAGGGCTGAGAGAGAAAAAAAAATAGGTAAGATA